GCTTCGAAAAACTGTTAAAAATGGGGCTGGACGAGAATGAGACCAGAAAAATGAAGAAGAGTGGGGGTTTGGACGAGCTACGCAGTGGGTTTCACTGCGTACATACGTGGGAGTCCTGTGCGAGAAACAGGCTACGGTAAGCAAAAATTCATTCACTTTTAAGCATGAGTAAACGAAAATTCCTAGTAACAGCAGAAACAGCTCACCTTTTTCAGCCTCTAGCAGTAGGAAATTAGGATTAGGGCAGCAATAAGATTAATAGAGAAAAAAGAATGGGGGAAAAACATCGCCTCATCACTCGGCGATAAGCTGATTGTGTGTGGGTCCTAGAACGAATAGTTGCAATCTGTATTGTCTCGACACGTGACATGATGACGTGACATCGATCGCGAGGCGAAAAGCGGGGCTTTTCCGCCCCTCAAACTATCGTAAACTGTGCCTTTAATCTTCATAAATCAGTGAAAGCTCTGGAAGCCTCAGTTCGTGAAGCGGGAGAATCATTAAGTTTTTGACGCTGATGTATCCCTTTTTTCTCATTGAACCCCTTTATTCGACTTCCACCCATAATCGCGTGATGGTTCTGAATGAGTATGTGGCCTATACAATGACCGCGCGGTAGTCAGCGAAACAACAACAAATCAACGATTTTATCCTCCCAAGCAAGTTTGGTACCAATTATTCAAGCCGGGTATCAATTCGGGAAACCCTTCAACATTAATGTCTCGCACTGATTTCAACTTGCATGAGAAGAAGACAACATGACCTATTTAATAAAAACGAAGGTGCTCTTCGAACTATTTAACCATCTCTTGAAACGGTGAAATTTTCAAAGAAAAAAATTATGGTGAGTGAAAACTTGTGGGAATCCATTTAGCTGTGAGATTCCCGAGGAAAACAATCAGCAAGTGGTATTTTTTCCAGAGTATGAGAGCTCATCAAACATCTCCAACACTTAACCAGCATTTGAAAATAAGCAGGTATAACATTACTTCAGATCTAGTATAATAGTATCGGCCTGGTCACCTTCAAAATCTATGGAACTCACGGATTACTGCCTATTCTCAATTAAGAGCGCTTTCTGACTGCGCGTGCTGGGTCTTGAAAGTAAAGAAAGTAATTAACCTACGAATAACCTATGTGCGTAACTGTTACCCATAGAAGTCCAGTCCATAATTCTAGAAGAATGGGAGAGGGTAGTGTAGTGGCAATGGCGCGATATCACGCATACATGGGCACGCATTCCAATCCCGGATAATCCGCGTGGGCTATCCCAACCTTCCACTTCTTCGGGGTCGGTTAATTGGTGCCAGACTTCACTGGGAGAATAAAAGCGCTGATTTGTTCATCGGCTTGTCATCAAAAGTAATTGTATGGACCACACACGCATTCAATATTCCACTCGGTTCTCAGATTCTCAATTGGATTCGAAGATGGGGGATTGAAAGGGGTCAATTAACCCTAAAAGTCTTCAGCCCTTACCATTCTAATGGTAAGAAGGGAATACTGTTCCCTGTTGTTGATCTGTCGGATTTGCAGAATTTTTTGGAGAGAAAGGCACTGTTGTAACAACGATGTGCTCAATCTTCCTGTAAATATTCGGAACAAAAAGCCTCATGACTGTTAAGAATGGCCGACTAATCACCTGCTCCCTAGAAATGTTTACGATTACTCGAGAATGATTCATACAAATTATAAGCAAACTACAAACTAAAGGCGCAACTTTATCCAATGCTCTGTCCGATCCTTTTTCCCTTTTTTAGCTCTACAGTAATCAGAAACCTGCAACTTCCATAGCAGTGATTTAATTGCTAACAAGCCGTTACTGAAAGGATAAGTTGTCACAGCGTCGTACCTGAATGCTATGCCACGAGGTGGGACAACTAGCAAGGGATTTTTGCACGTAGCAGCGGATCGAATCCAACGCTATTCAACCGATCGTCTTATCTATGTGAGCGACCTGGAACATCAGAGATTCGTTTATTCAGTTCTGAAGGGTATATCTTTTCCTTGCTTCAATTTCACTCAATGGAAAGGTGCATAACAATGCGTCTGCCATGTCGAATAACGTTTGCTCCACATTTTTGTAAGCGACTGATCTGGAGGTCTCTCTCTCTTTTTCATTCGCGCCCGTGCAAACCTCAGGGGATAACTGTCCCGTGGGCCCATAGCTCCAACGACTATTATCCGAAGCGAAATCATGAAACATTGATATCATTTTCTATTTTTATCAGCGAATACGGGTCAATCTGCAGGCGGACCTTGATTGATAGTTGCGTACCAGATCGGTCGATGATCCATTGGTCTCCTCACACTTACTCAACTTCGTTTTCACTTTTCCTCGCGCCGGTTCTTGAGTTTTTCCTCTGTACTTCAGGGCTTCTCTCCTCAACCGGATGTTAATGATCGTAGCAATGCCGTTCTTGCTGCCAATGCTCATTGGCATAATCCTAGGTTCGAAGTTAATCCAAAGTATTCTTCCGATTTTTCATGGCATCAAATCCCTATTTTAGTCGATCGGGTATACAGTGATGTCATGCAAATGGTCGACTCTCAATGGATGGACCGTTATGTTCCACGTCAATACAATAAACTCCATGAAGGTTTGAGGTTTCTGATGGTATAAACAGAGTATAGGGAAGGTGGGGTGGCAAGTGACGAACTAACGCAAACGCACAATTCAAATCCCTGAATCGATCCTCTCCTGAGCCAACCAAGCTTATCATCCCTATGGGGTCGCTTAATCGGTACAATTGAGAAACTAAAAGCGCTGACTTGTACATTGGTTCGATACCGCAAGTCATTATATATGTAGGCCACACACGCATCCAATACACCACCACGATTCCAAATGAAGTTCGAATGCGGGACGCATTCCGAAAGGAGATGGATTACCGTCAAATACTTGATCCAAACCGAATCGATAGATGTGAATAGGTGGAATCAGGCACAACCGGTAGTGGAGCTGTTCACATTTCGGATCCCTCAAGGTTGAGCAAAAGTTTTTCTTCAAGGCCAACCAACTGGCCCCAGACTCTTCTAACGGGGTGAGGGCTTTCGTCATCTAAGGCTGAGCATATCAGTTCTAGAGTAGGTTGGATATTCACTCAGAAACATCTTCATAAATCTGGATGGAAATCGAATACTTGGCGTCGAGATTGTTTTATTGGAACTTCCCTACGGTATTTTAGGTGGTTCCTTGTTTCAAGTAGCCCAGCAGCCTTCCTATCCATAGTGACTAACAATTGTCCGTAGAACCGGTGACTTGAGGATAAAACTCATCTCATTTCGTTCCTTCAAATTAAGTTTACTCGCTTGGACCAATATTGAGGGGAGAGAACCTGAACTTTCTAGGAAAACTTCTCCCTATCCAGCCACCTTGTGGCTTGGTTAGCTTCTTCTTGAACCCCAGTATTTATAGACCTGCTTCGGTGTCCTCGCAGAAGAAATGATGTTCAACGAGTGCCAGAGATGTTGCGATTCACCAAAAAACAACAGTGGAAACTAGCTCGTAATAACCAGCTTCTATCACTTTTTTCAGACAGCAGTGGGGAAGCGGATGTTTCCAAGGACAACAACTATGGTTACAGTGAACAGGGAATGAAGGACCTCGATGAGGTGAGCTACCGACAGCCCGGCTACTTGGGGAATTATGCTCGACCCAGGCATGTCCCAGTGTACATGTCCCGGTGTATAGGTGTGCATTACAGTAGTGAAGATGGTGTACTTAGTCGATCGACAATATCCGGGCTAATAACGGCTTTGTTTGTGTAAGTGCCGCGCATTTGGGGGAGTAGGAGGCGGCTTTTTGGTGGAGCTGCAGCCGTTTAGGACGGAGCATCTTCCTAGCAAACAAAGACCAAAGCTGGCGCACTTTGTGCTACCCGACTGATGAAATCTGACCGAATATAGGGATTGCTACACAGCCATGACCGACTTCTTAAGAAAAAGAAAAACCCTTTCCAGGTGGGCGGTCTGGTCGGTGGAGGAGATTCAGAATTGCTGGGGATCCTTCGACCGTATTATTCAATGGTGGATATGTCTGCCAATGGAAACAAGCAGGTGAGCGTTCCCTCCCTTACGATTGAAGTCCTGGGCAACCTGAAATACTACCACTTAGTTATTCTGTGATACTAGCGATGAGGGCATAGGTTTCTCTCTAGTTTATCTTAGGACAAATTAATGAAAAACGTGTGGGACGGAAACCTCCTNAGAACCATTGTCGACTTCTCCAGAGGCAAATCCATTTCAGGGAATGGGCTCCTATCTTCATGTGTTGCCTGATTCAAAGGAAGGAGACGAACCTATCTACACATTGGGTGCCTCATTCTATGGTGGTTTGGAGCCAGCTGGAGCAAAAATGGGCTACATGACTCGCCCATTCGGATAAAGAATCATTCACCCACAAATTGCCCAATATAATAATTGCATTATAATAAATCTACTGCTTTTGTGATACACTAAAAAATATGTGGGGAATTCACCACGAGCAGAGCCTAACTCCTATAGATTCTTGAGTGGAGTGAATTCTAGTAAGTTTTGAAAGACTAGGGATGTTGTTCATATCGAAAAGGGCCATCGCAAGAATTCGTTCCACAATTCAAAGTAGAACCCTTGGCACAGCCTCAAGCAGCAAGCAGCCATTGATCATAGTCAGTTCAGATGTCACGAACAAACGCAAGAGTGAGTCAACTCAACTATGGTAGACCTTAATATGGCTTCGAGCCTACTACTACTAATACACCTCCAATTATGGCAATGATGACCATGTTGATTTGGGCTGCAATTGGGAAAACTGCGCTCAGCTTTGGAATTTCTTTCCTATTAACATCTTTCTGGACTTTTTTTTCCTATTCCTAGGAAAACCTTGAGATATAAACAGACCTAGAGGGAAAAGTAGAAAGTCCTTAGATCGAATGACTATTATACATAGTTGTCAACTACCTAGGAAGAGGGACGAATGCTTCGAGACCATTCTCACCAGTTACAAACTAGTAAAGGGAATCTAACTAGTATGTAATGCATTTTGTCGAATTCTCTCAGATGGTATGCAGAGAATCACGACATCTCATTTGAGCTCTAACTGCAATTACAAATTGTATAGCCCGTTAATATGCCTGTTAGTATGCGAATCAGCAAACGACTTTTCACTCTTAAGCGTTCCTTCCTAAGGTAGAGAAAATCACTGAGTCCATTTAATGCAATCGTGATACAGTAGCATCCATTGATATTATAATGTGACCATTAATTATAATTGATTCTTTAGTATTTATTACCAGATCATACACAATTAAGCCGTTTTTGAATTTTTGCTTACAATGTATCAAGGGATTGAGGCGGTGTAGAAACAAGTGGAGCATTATCACACACGCACGGTCACGGGTTCGAACCTAAGATCGATATATCCTTAAACAAGCAGGTCTTCCATCTTTCCGGGGTCGGTCAATTTGTATCAGACTCCTCTGCGAGGATGATATCTCTGACTTGTACATCGGCTGGCCACTGCACTATCCATTGAATATCATTGTGTAGGTCGCATACGTATTCAGTACCTGCAACGACTCTGAATGGAAGTCAAATGCAGGGCGCATCTCTCAGACGGGATTAATTAACTCCCGAAGTTCTTACGTAGATTTCAATGTATCGATTTCAATGTTTGTTGGGTAAGGTCAATAGCACTTGCTAAGCAGATCTGTCTATGTAATTTTGTGCGATCAAACAAGAGGTGGGCAAACGATCCCTGCTATATCACTCCCACACTTTGTCATAAGATCTGAGTACAGTGTCTCAATGTGCAAGGAAAATCGCAGAAGACCTGAAAGGAAACTGATTACCAGAGGCGAACAGCTTGTTTGACATGGCTGATGGACTTTTCATCCTATCCAGTCGCTGACACGACTAGAACAATACATCAGAGATGCCGCTCACGGTGACAATGGAATTCTTCCTCGAGGAGAAAAGGATATCCGCCGGGACCCCAAGAAGGTGAAAGGTGCCGATGACACATCAATGACGTGAAGACTATCCATACATGTGAATGAAGGTTGAGAGGATCCTTCAGAAGTGTATGTTGTTTTCCATCATAAAGGACTGTGTGGTATGGATCGATCATGACCCCTCTTCCTATATTCTTTATTTATGTACAGCGCTAATGCTTGTCATTTGAAAAGGTATGTGGGAGGATAAATCGATTTTCTTTTCAAATCGTTGGCACCAAACTGAAGATAATAATCAGCAGGTTATAATCAAAGCAACAACAAAAAAGAACCTTCAGAGAGGAATGGGAGTCCACATTTTAGAGAGACTGACTTAAGACTTGACTTAAACTGCCTTGTCATACAGCATGAGGGTTATACATATGAGGTGCTAAGTGGAAGTTGAAGTCAATCAAAGCGACTAATTAACAGCCTGTGCTACGATCATAATGGGGTTGAGTGGTGGTATTTTGGAGTTTGTCTTCACTTAAACCATCTGTCAAGAAGCTAGCCTTCTCTAAGGAGTCTCGCTTGGAAAAATCCAGATTGGATCTCTAATTCCAACTCTGGATTGTGGCACTGAAGTGGCACAGTGATGTCACCGTTCACCTAGAGCTCTATCAATATGCAGTTTATTGTTTTCGAGAGTTTTTTGTGATCCTGAAAAACCTTTTTTTCCGCAGGACCTTTCATAATCCGAAAAAGGCCGTATGACCCTTTGTTGAGTTGTGTCTCCACTCGAAAAAGTGCTAATCCACTTGAATCGATCTACCGTAATCTCATCGATCAGTCTGTTAGTGTAAATAAGGGACCAGTATCTTAGCTTGACTTCCGGATGACGTATTCCGAGGATCAGATGTCTACTTGAAGTGATTAGAGGTCGATACACTGAGAAGCACTAGACACCTGGTTGTGTTTGGGCTCAAGCATGTATTGTGTCCTCCTGTTCTGGGAGAATCCTCATAGAGGGCAGTACGACTATCGAGCCCTGTGGATTTTCACCGCGTTTTGTTTTTGTTGTGATATTATAAGTGAAAACTTACCAGAGTTCATTAGAATCGGTGGGGAATCTTGGCTGAGTAAGTTCCTCTGGTCCCCTCCACCCTGTACAAAGTTTAAGAAAAAAGGTTCGCTGATCGAAGAATTTATTCATCCCGAGCAATAGGTTCATCAGTTTTGTGTGGATCATGATCCATAAGCATTCACAAAGACGCCAGTTGGTTTAGCGAAACCAGCTGCACGGAAGGTCAGTGGCGGTTTGAACTTGTACGGAGCCAGACCTTCCGCAAGCAACTGTTCGGATAGCACTATGTAGTACCTGAAAAGAAGTCATTCGAAGGACTTCTCCAACTGGAACCTTGAAACCCCAATACGTTTAAGAGGGAAAAGTTCCCCAGAACCAGTGTCTGCTCCATTACCGTTTGCCATTCAGAATGATGGGATGTAACCCAGGACCGAGCATGGCATGAAATGAAAAATGGCTTACAATCAATCAGTTGCCTCTCCCCCATACCTGGGGAGAGACCCTATATGACAAGAACCAGTTGCAGACGTACAAAGTTAGACAATTCTTCACAAAACATCTGAATATAGTATCTCACCACTCTGGAGCGCAATTGACTTGAGTTCGAGGATATCCGGCAGAGACAGTGAAGAAGTCTGGGCAATTTTCATAGCACAGTATTGCGGTAAATAACTTCTGGAACATTATCGCAAAGTGGTATGACTTATGACGATAGCCAGTTCAAAAGGTAACATCCGTTGATTATTTGGGGCAGGAGAAGTTTAAAGACACCTTCTGACCAAACTTCTCTTCAGAGCCTTACGGTTTGGAAAAGAAGCATGAGTATGCGGGCTGGATCCATGAGGAGAGAATAGCGGTGTCTCCTTACAGATGTATTCCCCTTTTTCACTTGAGAATCGTCTTGGGAGAGGTTCAGTGACAAGAGTACTCAATTGCCTTCAAAGAAAGACTGGTCGACCAGACTGGTGGACTTATCACCCCCATATTTCACAATTTATTAAACGTTTTGGTAAACTGTCGATCGGATACTTCTTTTGCCACTGGTAATAGAATACATCATTAGCCAAAGTCGCAGTGGTCGCGCCTTTCTGTCAAAATCGCTTTCTGTAGAGCCATAGTCTCTCTCTCCCACAGCCCTCCGCTCCCACTTGGACTCCGCAAATTGTTCTTGTGGTGTTTCGGTGGGTTTTCGTGGACTGTGATAATGAAAAAATTGCTAGCAATCTGTGCACTGACCTCTAAGCTGTCATCAACAGCAAACTTCTTTGAGAACTTCTTGCCAGACGGGAACCTGACCTGTACATGGACAGTTGTACCAGAAACAGGCGATTCATCCACTTGCAATCGCAAATTTTCGCGTTGACAGGCAATTAGCTGCAAATTATAGGGAAATGATTAATAGAAACTGGTACAAGGGAGTGACCATTCATCACTTTTCTCCTCTCCATTTCCTCTCTCTGTTTCTGTTTTTTCCTTTCGTCAGCTTCTTGTTTCTCTTGTATAGCTTTTTTAGCTTCCAACATTTTTTGTTTATCTCTTTCAATACTTTCCCTGTACGCCTTTTCTTGTTCCTGCATCAGGCGACGGTCTTCGATGAGCTTGTCCCTGAGAAAAAAATTTAACCCTAGAAAACGTCTACAAATCGTCGGCATCATAGAATGTTCGTCAAGTGAGGTTCATTGGGACCGAAACGCGACTGTTCCCAGAGATTCAGGAGTTTTCTTTCAAGACTCCTCAAAGATGACCCGAAGTCGGATACAAGCTGTTGTCCAAAATACTGGAGAAGACGGCATACTAAGCGCCAGTGACTATCTTCAGGTTCACGATCCGGGCAATATGGTCCAAGCTCTCTGAGGCAATACTACTCTCTGAGATGCGAGGATCAACCATACAGTAACATTTGCAAGGTAGGAACATCCATTAGGACACTCGAAGAATCCTACCGGGTATTTTCCCCAGATCAGATTTGCATTCAATGTTTTCTTGGGTTTCGAAATGATAACGAGGGCATGGCGTAGACGGAGGGTATCGATAAGTGCCGAGTACATTATATTGTAGTATATATAAAGAGGAAGAATGCAGACTTAATAATGTCCATTACAAAGTAATTGCGAATATTCTATAATGCACCTTTGCTCACGGAGATCTTTAAGATCCACCCGTACTGTTTCGATAGCCTTTTCCAATCTGGATACTAGATCTTCAGCAGTTGTGAAGCCGCTTATGCGACGAACCTTCAAATAAAATTTGGATTATGATATGGAAAAGAGCCTATCAACAGCTCTACTGTGGATATTCGATTACTTATTTATCAACGCGGTAAAAAAAATATTGAGCACAGTCCATTTGAATAAACGCAATGTACATAGCTCACGACTAGAACATCTCTTCGGTTGGCACTACCGTCGCTTTCCTTTTGCGACTCCCAGAAGGCATATTTCACTCGAATCAGCAGCACAAGTGAGTCGCCGACGAAGAGCACAGGGTAGGGATTGAGTGGGGCCTTCATCAAAGATTATCACCAACTATATAACTGTGCCATTAGGTGACTTTGAAAGTTTCACAGCCAATTAGACAATAGTATTAGTCGAGATACGGACAGGACGTACACCCTTATTTATAACATCTTCACACCATAAGTAACTGTCATACTTCGGAGACCCTGAGGGTTCATCTCACTGTCTCATGGCATTTCTTCGTATTTATCAGGCTTATCCAGCGTAAGTGATGAGTGATAAGTGATGTGTCAAGGTACCAGTGATTATATAGGTCACATACGCATTTAGAACGTCGCTACGACTATGAAAAGAAGTCGAACGCCATAGTGTAACCTTTGGAAGGATTCACTGTTAAAAGATCTTGTCTTTATGAATTTTTCACACACAGAAAATGATAAGCTGATTTAGGCAATCAAATGAAATTCCTATTCCGACAAGTAAAGGTTCCCCTGCTATGCCCAATTATCATGTGCACGTAGTACTAAAAAAGGTAAAGTTTTCTTCCAATTAAGCCATTGAATTTATAACTGACCGAGAAGAATCGATTGTCCGCACGTGGGCACATCATGGCGAGGAAAGGAAATTTGTACACATGCAAGTTGTACGCAACTGAAATTTAACTGATAAATTTGCGTGATTGTATTGCATTCTCTGAAGACATATATTATCCTACTATATATAACTTGCTAGGTCTGTCCGTTGGATTGTCAGTTTGTTTGGTTAGGAGTTCATAACTCCAGTCCCCTCCACCTAAAGCGTCAAATTTGGAAGGGGTACAGGCGGCGAGATGGGAACACTGCTGGTAGGTAATAGAAAGCGATAAGATTTTATAGCAGTTGACGAGGAGCCTAAGTGAGCAAGAGTCGCGGTTAAGTCATCTGCTTCGTGTTGAATGTGGCGTCTCACCACTTCAGTAAGGAGGTGAGCTTGGCAGGAACCGTGAATGTTTGGTGACAGGAATGACAACAACTCTTAGGAACCGACAATGACGTACTATAACGCCCTTCGCATAAACAGTACGGTTCAGGACCTCGTTAGGTGGGTGATGTCTGAAGGGACCTGATATACGTAGTAACAAAAACTGATAACAGGCGAAAAGGACTGTAAAAGAGCCATCAAAGGCCGAAGCTACTATTTCTGTGACTGCAGCTCTTCACGTTAAGAGCGGAACCTTGGCATTTAAATAAGTGATGTAGAATGTTACGGGGTTTTCTGTACTTGGTCTGGAATCTTCTGCCCGAACGTCGTGTCGCGCTCGCCACACGCGACCTCGGGTTGTGAAGGGAAAGATTTGAATCCCCAGTGAAAGGATACTCCAGTTGTCGCTGAACCACTGTCGCAGGCCGGGGTTTGGGGAGACTTCCGCCACCTTTATATACTCAGTGTCAAGAATAACTGTAAAAGCTGATAAGGGGCTCCAGGGAGCACGAATAATGGAAGTGAGAGTTCAGACTAGTGCAAAAAAAAAGTATAAGGCTACAGAAAGTAGTAAAAAAGTTTCTTGGAAGGGTCATTTAAATGAGCTATCTAAATATGTGTGCCATGCGTACAGGAGTGGCTACAGAAAGCTGCCTGCGCGCAACGTGTACGTCTCGGTGGGAATGGTGCAAACTACAGCATAGGGTGTGCAGTTGGGTAAGCCGGTGTTGAAAC